CCGTGAGTATCAGATATTTACCTTTGATGGCAAGTTTTATGAACAGACTCAAAGACTTGCGATAGGATCTTGCATAGTTTCTATCTTGGCGGACAACAATATAGCCAAACTTAAGAAACACTATTTAGAACAGGCAAAACGAACCCCTAAATTGTCGGTTAGATAGATGGAGGACTATTTTGTGCTCTGGCCTCATGGTTAGGAAAGCATAGATGCTTTACCACTTTCACTTAACCAATGTGAAAGGAACATTAGTTTCATGATGGAAATAGAGTAGGATAGGTCCTTACTCTTTTTTGATTTTTGGATAAATGGAGAGAAGAGTAAGAAAGAAGAAATGTTTTTAGGAAGCCAACGTATGCTGTCTCTTTTCTGAATTTTATTTCCAAACATGGTTAAAAACTAAGGTTGGAATTTCGAAATCAATATAATCAGAACTAATCAGAGAACTAGTGATAAATGGGGTGATAAAAACAGTTTTTAAAGAAACCCTCACGCTTTCTTCGATTATGCCACCTTTTAGAGAGAAATATGACCCATTATCGTGATCCGGATTCTGCAAGATTGCATGCTCGTGTGGACGAAATTCAGGTCCATCCGACAAAGATTAATGGAACACAAAAATGCCTGTAAAGTGAGCTAGGTCCAACGGTCGGAAAGGGCCGAAAACATGCAAGAGACTGAATATGAGATATAATGGTCTCAAAAGAGTAGGTTTGCTGATTATGGTATGGAGGCTATATAAATTAATAGCTTAGGAAATACGTTGAATGTGAGGAACGGTGGTAGAAAGCAGAGTAGGAACTACTTATGCTTGATTGATAGCTTGAAAGAGAGCCGAAATTCAACTTGTCTGTCAAATGATAGTCCCAACTTCACTCACATTCGTCCAACATGTTAGATTAAGCTCATCAATCAAACCAAACATACCAGATTACGCAGCCTTTCAGTGGGTGGTTAAACATTAATGACCCTAGACTGAGAGGTTTGGACAGGTGGTTTCGTAACTTGACTTACATACTTACAGGCTTAGATCTCATTCTCTCAACCATATTTGCTTACGGACTTACGCAGTCTCGGTCAGGGTTTTCTCTTGGGTCATTAAGCCTTGATGACCAGAACCTGACATTAACCTTTTTTGGTCACTCTGATTTTGGACCGGTATTGCGTATAGGCGTTAGCACACATACACACCATGCACTTTCATACGAAATTGAGGTCTTCCCAACCATGTTATCTTAGGAGATTTATAGAAACTCAGTTACTTTTCGTATCTATATCATTTTAGTTTTTACTTGTGATTATTTCTAAGATGTAAGATAGAGCCGGATAGTCTTCTTGCTTTAGTGTTAACGTGAGACTTTTTACAAGAATGATTTCCAGCTCTGATGATGTCCATCATATGATGGACGAAAGCTTAGCCCGTTCCACCCGAAGAGAGGGAGGACTGCATCAACCTGAACATCGTTTAAAAGCTAAATGACTGCAGTACAACGGGATTCATCCGTCGTCTTCTGGTGAGCTCAACTACAGAATCTCTTCTCCATACACTTTCAGGCAAAATGAAAGTTTCCCCAAAAATGTTAGATTAAGATATTCATCGAATCCCAGCTACTCGTCATTTCGACATTATCAGCTCAAGTATGTAGGTAGTTGTCCGATGTTAGTTTCTTAAACAATTTCTTCAAATAAATTGCTATCTTTATTTGCCAAAATGGTGAGAAAATTCAGCTCGAGTGAGGTTTGTAATGGATACTAGATGATGTCCAGGTATTGGGAAAATTTAACGAAAAATGAGGGTGTACATTGCATTTTGCTTAAAACAGAAAGTTGAAATGATTCGTAAATTTGCCTCAAGGGACACTGAATAAGAATTGTTCTAAACTTTTGAATGTTATGTTGTTGTTGTGGCTTATGTCCTATAAAACAGATGAATCAGAGCTGAGCTTTCATCCGTCATGAAATGGGCAACTTCAGAGCTAGAAAGTATCATTATTGAAAAATTCACCCAAAATAATTAAACCAAGTGAGGTGGCCGGCTGATACTGTAATTATAATCATGTTAAGTCGGTTTCAAAACTATTAATATTACTTACTTCTTATGCCTAACTTTGCGATCTCTTATGTTACTATGTTGGAAAGGTAAATCATGGAATGCAAAATTAGGTACCAACTGCCGATTTTCAGGCTGTCACATTTCTCGGTTTAGTATTTTTGGTGAGTTTGTCCTAAATAATTTTTTCTGTTTCTGGCGCTATCATTTGCATGTTTGGGGAAAACACTTAGTACGCATTTCTCAGGGTGGTAGGACGGTGAGCCAACGTCTTCTTTGTACAATCCAACAGGCCAATTTACGAATCCCTTCTACCCGTCTTTTCAAACTAAATGAAAAGTGTTTGAAACCCAGATTCTCTTCATACATACAAAATGTGACTAAGGCATCATAGCTTGTTTCACTTAAAGTTGTCCAGCGTCGTGTTAAACCCGCCTGAATAACAGTTTCTTGTCGTTATTTGTGCAATCGGCCTAATTACCTTCCTTTTCCCACTATCGTGGAGCCGGCCTCGTTAATAAGTGCGCCTCCACGTAGCTACACTCAAGATGGACACGCCCATTTTGTCACCTGGACGAGCCACTCAGCAAGTACAGACGCCTTCGTGTAGCCTCGGACACGCGAAGGGCCGCCTCCTCTGTGGGCCCCTTGTGTTGTCCTTTATCACCTCGATCTGGCCTGCTCAAATCGAGGGAATGTGGGCAATTGGAGTGAACTCTGGCGTGTACCGGGCGTTAAGTGTCAAAAACGAGGCTGTCTCAACCACTGGCTTGTGACGCAAATTCGGAACGAGAGAGAGAGAGACAGAGAGAGAGAATGAAGGAGTACCACTCCGCAGCTTCAAAAAGGATGGGCTCTTAAAAAAGTTGGGCCTGTGGGGGCCACTACAAAACCCCATCACAGGATGCAGTCTTTGTTCATCTACAGTCAGTCTCGTCTCTCCAAGTACTGAGGTGTGGCCGACACACTTTGCTGCAACTATGCCAATACATGCGGTTCGTGTGATTTCGACCGATGCCCATTTGAAGGGTGATTTTTCGCTTCACTGCACATCTCCTGGTGCACACACTGCCCTTCTGACCAAGCCATATGTACACACACTTCTGAAGGGCGCCAGACGAAAGGGGAGTTGTGCACACATATCGCATGAAATAACCGCAATCGAGTGGCTAAGACGCCTGTCACTAAGTCTAAGGTAGCACTTGAAGCCACCGAAAAACAGGGCAGCGACAATTGGCCATGCACCCGAATGTCGCTGCCACGGCCTTGTCAGCCATAATATTGGATGCATATAATATATGTGATTTCTCTAATTTCTATGAAACTGTGTTAACCGACAAACGGACATACAGAATAGGATAAAAATGGACAGGCTGGCTCATTTAGTCGCATATTGGCCCCAACATATCCTAATTGTGATCATAATAAATCATAAAAATCATAAAAATTCTGTTTTTTGGGAATCTAAGACAAGGACTAATCCTATAGCCGTTGATGGAGCATTTGATTGCATCATTATCGTGTAGAAAATCTCTTCTCCCCAAATTCATTTTCTAAGAAAGTACCTCGTCCGTATTTATCTCACAGTCATTATGTTTATGTCTACCTGGAAAAATATTTTGAGAGTATTTTATGCCTACATGAGTGGTACGATGTAAATCAGTAGATAAGTAGTTTTTATATGAGTTGTATTCACCCTATTTAGTTAAGATGATGAAGGGCTGACAGTTGAATTTTTCCACAACAATATGAGTAGAATTGATGTTTATATTAAATTTCACAAGCTTTGTTTGTTCTCATCCAGAGTGGACTACAGTTTCGGCCTCGCCCAGGTTTTCTCAACGCCCCCAGCCGAAGTCGAATCATGACAGGGCAGTGTGTAATCTCGACACGTAAACCAATACGCCACATTGCCACGATTGCCCTTGGGTCATAGGGCAGAAGTGAATTCCAAGAAAGGGCAGTCATTTTCTCATATCACATTCTTTGGTGGGATTGCCGATGGAGTAAAGTTATACTCACTATGACAGTCGACTATATAACTTATTTTTCGTTTATAAGTATAATTTTTAACCTCTACTTATAAATGGAAAATAAGTAGTTATTTATTACTTTGACAAGGTAGGCTACAATCTAGTGTACAGCCGGTATGGTAAACATTAATCAATTTCCAAAGTAACAATTAACTACTCATTTACTGATGATGTCATATCACTCAGGTAGGCGCAACATAACCAATACGATTTTGGGATCCATCAACATAAAATATGCTGCAAGGCCACGTTGATGAAGGTCTCATGTATGTACATATTTTTTGGCTACTTATGTAACCTGTGCTATAACTTTTCTGTTTAACTTATTTCCTGGCATCCAGCTTTATTATTACATATTTTGAAGGCTTTCTTCTGAGGCTACGGTCTGAAAAATGTTGTAAACTGAGAGTGTCTAATAAGCTATATATTTTTAATGGCCTCAGGAACTTGTTAAACGGGCATCACTTGCTATTACCTGAATAACAAAGGAAAGCTGATAAACACGTTTACTGGAAATTTAAGCAATTTTAACTAATTGAAGTGTAAATGTGCAAAAACGAAAAACATAAAACCGAGGGGATGCAGATTCATCAATGATTCTTGAAGTGCCCTTATTTGAGTTCGATGGGAAGTTTAATTTCCACGATACCTTTTGCTCTGCCCAACGGTGCATTCTCAGCTAATTTCAACAACTTTAACTTTCCTGCCTGCGTCACATCGGAACGTCAAGCAGGTTTCCAACCCAAAGCGCGAAATCGCGATGCCATAAGACCCAAAGCTGATATGCATTTTGAAGTGGCCATATTTTTGCCATTTAACTAGATACGAATTTAAAAGAGAAGAAAATAGATTTTAGTTGAAGCATAGAGGGGCATCGAATTTTAGGATGGAAAGACAAAATTGGAATCTTATACTTATTCAAAATCCGAAATGCTCTACTACAATTTATGGTATCGAAGACCTAACATTTTAGCTTTCGCAACTTGGTCGTGTTATCAGGGGGACTTAGTTGAATGCAACTTG